AGAACGCTAGTACTTTCAGCAATTTATACAAAATAAGCAGTCTGATACAAATAGATTTGTGTCGGATTTTATGTTGTGACTTTTCAGTCTTACTGGTGAAGAAATACCTCAGGTGCCTCTCCATACATTTTTCAGCCTGAATAAAACCGGCGACGTTCCGTAAACTAGCTGGAGTATACTCTTTATATAAAAGAATACTAAGAATATTTGCGGGATTCGAACCCGCAACGGTCAGGGGCAAGTAGACGGACACAAGTTCGCAAAGAAATATACTTAGCAGATGATCCTTATATGCACATAACATATGTAGAGTACTTGCATACTATTTTTTAATCAATCGCTTTTACTGTTTAATTTTACTCAAAAAGGACATGAAAAAGCATACATGTATTTTGTCTTGAATCAGCAGATTCCGAACGTTCCTTTAGGTCCCAAAGTTACTAAATATATACAACCATTTACTCTACGATTAATGTAATATATTACCACTAGCAAGCTTAATTTAATTATGAATATACATCTAACGGTAGTGTTGCGACATTTAACGGTAAGGGAAAATCGTGCGATATTTTACGTTACAGTTGCGACATTTAACCAAAGTCAATTTTGCGACATTTAGCAGCAATGGTGCGACATTTATCGACAAGTGTGACATTTAGCGGCGTTGCGACATATAATGGCGCCACTAACACAATTACAGATCATTCACTCACTCCATATTTCTAAAATAATCATTTTTGATGTGCGAAATGACCTTAAATGAAAAGCTTTTATCAAAATCGAGCAAAAATACACTAAATATCGGTTTGCAATGGAATTCTGGGCATAGTTTTTTTAAATTATGTTTGTCATATTTTTTCCGTTTCAAGTTCCCCAGTTTATCGATGTAGGATTATTGATTTTTATGATTTTGGCTTTATGGACATCATTGGATTTCCTCTTATCAAAATAAGTCTTCCACTGTTGTTGTTTTTTTCCATCAGTGCTTTATGTGTACGTATATATTCATGAAAAAGAGAGTAATACACGAGGAATACATTTACACTGTACACGTATATATAAAAAAGTAGCGTACGGAATGTCGGTAATTGCATTCAGGTACCTGTTACAATACATAGAGGCAACGGAGATCTTCATCCATCAGTAAAACACAATAAGTCGACATATGAACTTTATAGTGCTGGTTTGAGTAAAAAAAGTATTATACAGTCCCTGCCCATAAAGATTGAACAACTACATGTACCAAAATCACTATCCATTTAATTGACATATTTGAAACAAATTATTATTAACTTAATCATAATTTATCAAGTATTGTTTATCATTTTGGTAACTTCAAATGAAGTAAAGGTGAGGTGAGCATTCATGTATACAATGATAAACTATATAAGGAAGTAAATTAGCATTTTAATGTTAGTATTAAATCAAGGGAGGCAACAACGTTACACTGATGCATGCAAGGTGTTAGAGTTGCACGGCTTATTCTTAATCTTTTTGATCAGGAATTAGTACCTAGGACGACTTGAGCTGAACTGCTTCGCGAAGAGCCTGTGTCGGGAGTGTTAGGGTTATGATGGCGAGGATTTAGAGAAGCAATGACGCATATCTAAAAAAGCTTTAAATTTATTCAATGCTGCAAAATAGTTCGCATACAATTTCTCATAGAATATAAAAGTATATACATAGATATTTTTCACCATCTTCATTCGAGCTTGATTAAAAATTTATGGGAGGCCTCACTGTAATCCATTGTAAAAAAAACGACGTGTGAAATAGTCCTTTGTTCAGAGGATGGTTGTTATTTCGATAGGCTGTACCAGTTATCTACCGTAGATTATAGAAGGTAACATTCTAGCATACGCACTAGCTACTTCCCCTATGCAACTGGTGATGATTTGTAAATCAAAGGTACATCACATTGATTTTAAGGAGCTAGTTTTGAAAAGTGATAAGATACCCAAAAGATAAATAATGTCTGAATACAAAAAAATGATGAACATGTAATAATAGTGTGCATTATTACAAAAGAAAATGTGTATAATGAAATTAACAAATTCATATAAATATTGATTATACAAATTAAAAAATTAAAATGTTGTCGTATTTTTCTTGCATACATACTATAATGAATAAGAAATAGCATGTTAGAAAATCAAACAACACAAAAGACGGATATTCCTGTCCATTACGATGTTACAAAATTCTGTCATAACTGAATGCATTATGCATGGCAGAAAAAATTGGCACAAGTGTAACGTTCGGACTTAAAATGTTTTTATGTCAGATCGCCGTAGTGTTCAACAAGCATAATGGCAATATTTGATTCATTTTCAAAAAGAACTTTAGATTTCCCGCTTAGATGAGGAATGGTAATAAAACCGTATTGAATACCTAAAGATGTAATGTAAAAGAGTATTTTCCTAAGAATAAAAACGTTATCAAACCTAAGATCTGTGGTAACGATCGAATTTCGTGGTAATTCTTAAAATCAGTTTTATGGAATGTTCATTTGTTGAAATCAAAAGGTATTAACCTAATGTCTGTTCTTCAAAGACGTTTACACATTGCAATCATAAAATTACATAACCAACTTACAAGTTAGCTACAATTCATTCGAATCAAGAAATCAAGCTACTTAAATCGAACTGTTGCTGTATTTTTACACACTGGAACTTAATCCTAAGTTAGACCTTTTGTTCGTACATTATTATAGTTAAAAGCACATTGACCAACTATTACAAAGTTTTGTGTTTTATGATAGACAAACTTTAAATGCAATTAACATGGTATAAGTAATTTTGCACATTCAGTGATTTTAGAAAAATCTTCACATAACAGACGATAACAATACTATTTAAACGAAATCTGAAAAAAGATGGCATATAAATTGTTCAAATAGGAAAGTCCTTTCTTGTTCTTGCTTTGGTGCTTTTGTTTTCCCATTTGTATACTTTGTCTTTGATCACAGCTAATACTCCTCTAACACTTTGTTTCTTAAATGATTCTTCCAATGACGCTTTTACAGTGGGAGATTTGTCATTGATGTCTTCCTTACTTGTCTTCGACTTTATTTCTGCAATAAAAAAAATTTTCAGATTATTTTGCAATTTGATTTTTCTCATTCTTTCAAAAATAATTTTGAGAAATAAGGCAAGCTGAGTATATAACCATAGTAGAATTTTCGTTTTTAAATCTACAATAAACAGAAACAGTCTGGTTAAGACAATTAAGTGCCTGTCCTGGCACAAAATCAAAATTCAACATTTGAATACAATAACTAAAATACAATAACGAAAATTGATTACATTCGCCGTAAGTTTTGGTATAAATCAACGAAAGTAATAATCTAATTATATAAATATGATGATCTTGTATAAATTTTTTTATCAATATAAGGAATGCTAGATATACACTTTTATACTTAAACATATTGCCTTCCATCGAAAATAAAATCATTAGACCATTACAGCTACTACTTAAATTCCACAGCATGAGTTTTTATTGAAATCATTAACAAACTTATTTCCCATTTACAAAAGGCATGAGAAAAAGTTACCTATCTTGTGTATAATTCTCAAAAACTTATTGTAAAACATTTGGAAATGTGACGAAGATTGTAGAGCACTCTCTTTTCTTTTAGACATCATTTTTTGTCTGGTATGGTATAACCCTATTTCTCGGTACCTTGATGGTGTACTTAATTTAGATACAAAATTGATCAAATGATGTCTGATATCTATCCTAATGAACCTCAACCGACTAAAACGAATTTTTTATTTTTTTACACGCCATTTTAAGAACTTTATATAACAATCGATGACAATACTATTCACCGTAAATCTATGATATATAAGAGGATTCTGATTTTGATATAGTCAATTATAAACATTTTGATCGATATGAACCCCATGCAGTATTTTACGGGGTGTATGCCCCTCAGTTAATTACATTCGGTAGAGTTAGTAAACGATTTTAACGAACAGAATATTTTCATTACATAGTAATTCGCTTGATGGGGATTCATTTTATTTGCACTGTCTTGTTTAAAAGGAACATGTTTGGGCTAAGGGAGAGGTTTGCTGCATCATCAACCGGTTTAAATTCCCCAGTAGTGCAAATGCTGTTGACAGTTCAAAGGTTGTGCCTCTATGTTTGTCAGATGTATGTCTTGTTTGTTGCCTCATGATATTGTGCTGACACTTTTGAATCCCTTGATTGTTCTCGTTTTTGGTAACTTTAAATTTAATTTTACACCCTCTCTCCCCCATTCCCCGATCCTCAAGTTCTCTTTCCCTTTACCTTTTTACACTTGTAGGGGCCCATTTTTTAATTGTCGTCTTTAATTTCCTGTCTAGTTTATATAGTGTTCTATTCTGAAGTATTTAAATTAACATCCTATCCGTGCTTTGCCCTTGTGCAAGGTACTGTTTTTGTGTGTTGTCCTTCCCGAAAGTCCTGTTTTACTGGGTCGTAATGGGGATGTGTTCATTTAATGCCACCCTCCCTTGTTGCTCTTGTTTTTTCATATGTCATGTTCTTATACATCACCTCTATCAAAATGACATTTGTTTGTTTGTGAAAAACGCATGTAATATTGTTTTTTATTTTTACTTGAAGAAAATCACTTATAAAAAAACTAATATTTTGTGTTTTACATTGCAGTGGCATATGCATTTTGTGAGTGCTTTGTGTCTGAAATAGTGTAAGGTATCAATTGATTCAGTTATAATAACTGGAGCTATAAGCCTATAATAAGACATTTCATTGAAATATAGTATGTTTTATTTTATTTTCCAAAATATTTTGTGTACTTTTTGATGGATTGAGTCTGTCTATCAATGTAAAAAAATCTTTCAAACTAATAGTCGGCAAACAAGGTAATTAAAATTAATTTGAAATAGTCAATTAAAATTATTGCATACTTTGGTTACATTTATATATTAAATGGAAATAGGATAAAATCAATTAAATTGTCTTTCTGTATGTATGACTTTGACCTATTTTAAATCTTGTTTTAGTTTTATGTGTAAGCAAATCAGTCACTCACCCGGTTTTTTATTTATATCAACGTCATTTTGCATGTTGTTCATGGTGTGTGACATAACTAGTTTTAATACGATACGTGCATCTTCCTCTAAGATCGATAGAATAGAGCGGAGCAATTTCACTGTCGTTGCGAAAGATACAACCGCACCGATAGGCATACCTATCACAGGAACTGCCAAACCAACCGCCGATTCTACAACTTCAGAACAAATCAAAACACTCGATGCCATGACCCCTTTTGCGGTACAAGCAAGGGCAAGTGATTTTAATGAATATTTGTCTGCCAAAATATCAATAGGCATATTCATCATTAAGCTGAGTGATTGCATATCATCATTCGAAAGCCCAAGTTGTTTGCGGTATAAACGTGTCTCGTTTGCTATAAGCAAACCATCTGCAACGAGGGATGTTCCTGGAATAGGAATTGCACCTGAAAGACTCGATAATACGCCCATTCCCCATATTCTTTTACGGAGCGAATTTATTTTTCGCTGTAGTATTTCTGGTGTAAAAATATGAATCGAATATAAGAAAGCCTCACTCTTAAGTTCCGAAAAGCCGTCAACCAAATGAAGGAACAACTTTTCGAAATCCAGGTTTGTAGAAAAAATGTCATTGTTGTTAATCAAATAAATGTTTTTTTCTTGTCCAAGGTTTTGCTTGCAGTCTTCACGGATTTCATCAATAACCGTCAAGGGATTGTGTGGTTTCATAGCTTTTCTTTTCCGGATGGCATCGCTGTCAATTTGTGCATCAACTTTTGAACGTACAAAAAGATATGGTCTTCCAGTCTTTTTTATCTCTTCAGCTAACCAAGACTCATCCTGAGTAAATCTGTCACATGCCATTATAATAAACATGTCGTACATTTGGAATCTTATTTCCGGATGTTTGAGATACGTATTTCTTGGAAATGTGTCTGTGCCAACTCCAGGCAGATCCCAAAATATCAGAAGCTTGTTGTTAGGGTGTGGATAAGCCTTTCTTTGTTTGGTGCATTCATTATTGCCAACCGTTGCGTAACCCGGCTGTGATTCGTCTATATCACCCCTAATAGCATTGATAAAAGATGATTTGCCAACGCCAGATCGACCTGTTACAGCAATGTTTAGTTTTTCGTTTTCCCAGTTGTCCATTTTGTCTTTGATCGCAGCTGATATTCCTTTTACGCCATGTTTCTTAAATGATTCTTCCAATGACGCTTTTACAGATGAACATTCGTCATTGATGTCTTCCTTATCTGCCCTTGACTTTATTACTGCAACAAAAATATTTATTCTGATAATAATGTTTCTTTCTCATATTTTAACAAATTGAGTTTATAGCTATAGCAGTATATTCTTTTTCAAATCTTCATATAAACTACAACAGTCTGGTTAAAGCAAATAAGCCATTGAGCTGACACAAAATCTTAATATAACACCTGAACGCAAAAGATAGTATACTATGACAGTAATTCGCTCTAAGATTTTGTATTAATCAATTGTATTTATATACTAACTATATTAATATAATATTATTTTGTATTTTGCTAGATATAAACCTTTATTACAGAACATGTTGATATTGCCTACTATCTAAAATAAAATTGCAAGACCATTAATGGTACTACTAAACGTTCCATTTCCTTGTTTCAATATTGGTGAGCTCACTGTCTTAATCTAGTTAAAGCCGTCAGGTTTTTCCTTATATCATCATTTTTCAGATTAAGTTTTTTTCAAAATTCAATAATTCTATTAGATGTTTTGCTTTGTTATGATACATTTATACGACTTGTCCATGCTTGAATTTCAGTTTTTCGTCTTAGTTTCAATAAGAACATAGTTTGGTTAATTGCACACAGAACTTGCCAAACTTCGAAAAATCCTAAAAAGTCGACCAAGTTCGCAATAAATAAAACCATAAAATCATTTTTTAATCTTTGTATATTTTAACGTAAAGGGGAAATTTATTTAAAAAAAGGAAACACTCCTTATTCGTTGACCTTTTTTGAACACCGTAACGAAGAAGCGGTAAAGCTAAGTTATCAAATAATTCTAAAATATGTTCAATAGGTGAATTGCAACAAGACTTTCTTAAATGATTTTTGTTTTAGAGCTGATAAAATGTAAAAATTACTAAAAATAACTGGCACAAAATAATATTTAGATATGTTTGTTTACTGTATGTTTTGAGTTTATTGTGATGTATGGGTCAAACTTGTTAATTACTGTAGATTTTCACCGTTTTTGTGATTATGTGTTATAATATGTAAATATGTTCTGTTTTTATTGTCATGAATGGGTCTTGTTTGTTATGTAAATTACTGTAGATTTTCACCGTTTTTGTGATTATGTGTTATAATATGTAAAAATGTTTTGTTTTTATTGTGATGTATGGGCTGGTGGCCTGAATCATCTTAAAAAAGAGTTGAATTTTACTACATTTATTTTTAAACAACATCTTTTATAGACGCCCCACACTACCTCTTCTCCTGAAAAAAAAAATTTGACAAAGTTTTTATCCAAGGGCGATATTTTGACCAAAACTATAAAAATCCACTACACATTGTTTCATCCGAAATATTTTAGCTCAAGCCTGTGTAGTTTTGGAGGAGCAAGTTTTATTTTAAATTTTACGGGAGTATACGGGGAAAACATGTGACGACTCGGTGAGTGAGAGATCATTTTTTTACCCCAGAGCTACCATTTTAACAATGTTATCAGGGGTCTACTTGATAGTTTCATGCTTAATAAATAGCCCTTGTAGTGTGTAGTTTTTTTATAAAATATTTATATGAAGAAAAGTCGTGATGGTTTCCAGAACCGAGGATGAAAAATTGCAGGGCACCATAAATCTTCGAGAGCACATTGTCAATGCACAGAAAAGAGAATGTAAAATATATTCAAAACATAACTTTGTAGTGCACATAATACAGTCAAACCTATACATAAAGATCACACAGGTAAAAGCCAATATGTGGTATTTATCGACAGATGGTCTTTATTTACAGGTTATATACACTGTAAATATGATGATTGGAAACAAAACATGTGGTCTTGAGGGACAGGTGGTTCCTGTTCTGAGGTAGTAGGTAACATAGGTTTGACTATACATGTAAAGTGAAACATTTTATCATCTTGATTTAACAAATATAATCTTTTAAGTGCTTTTAAAGTTATCATTATAATGCAAGTTTTCAGAAAGACATTTACATGTATATTTTACCCCTTTAAAAAAATATCAATAGTTTCGTATGAGCAGAGATCATCATAGAGTGTTGGTGGTTAAAGAGAGCTGCGATAAAGCCGAGAGGACGTTCTCCATGATGAGAACTTTCAACACCCAACAACTTTCAATTTGAATAGAAACACCTGCCACAAGTACTACAACTAGGAGGAATGTCTGCTTCACGACGCAGATTTCTATACAGCACAGTTCGGCCCTATGTGCGACCTCTTTTTCAAGATGTGTTGTAGATGATGTACAGGAGAGCCTTATAAGACACTCGTGTTACCATGGAAATGGATTTGTAAGGCATTATCTGACTTCTGTTCTGATGATTTTTTCTTTTAATTTATTATATAAAATGGTGTCTGTTAACAAATATAATGAATATATGACAAACTATACATAGTTGTACTTGATTCAATTGCTTATTAGTTTTATATAAGATATATTGAAAGATTTATTTCTATGATAATGACATGATCACGGGAGGTCTTGAGATCCCCAAGAAAAATGTTAACGCTCTAAGCCTTGAAATTCTAGAGAAGTGGAGAAGTATATTTTTCTTTTTGCAACCAGATGTTAGCACTGAAAAAAATATTTAAACAATTTTGGAATCTTTTTGTCCAAGAAACATAATCTTGATAAGTTTTAATTGTTATGGTACATGAGTTTACTTGACAATTTTTTATGCCAATTATTTTTTCCTGCAGTCCATCTTACTTTTACTTTTTTCAGTAAAAATATATAGGAAAAAGCATGACGCCCCGGAGGAGGGCCAATTTTGACCAAAACACTTAAATGTTATCAGTCTTTGTAGATGCCTTATAGATGATATCTCAAGCTGAATATCTTAGTTCTAGACATAGAATTTTTAAAAAGAAAGATTTTTACTATGTTCATATATTGACAACATGTGTCCCCAAGGATGGGCCACTTTTGACCTAAGAGCAATACCTTGAGCAATTTTGATAAAGGTTCACAAGATGCATTGTGCAAAAAACAATAATTTTTACATCACTTATTGTTAGTATTCCCTTGTTTGCAACGGCAACAGGTTTCTGAATAGAAAACAAAAACGAGAAAAAAGATCAACAAGTCAAAGACAACGTGTTCACAGGATTCAGCCCCCGATACACTCTAGCTACCACAGCAGGGCACAATGAAGGCACCAAACCAGAATTGAGAGAAACACTGCGAAAGGAAGTGAGGGACATGCGATAAGCAAAATAATAAGAATACTTTTTTAATTGAAGGAAGATTGTCATTTAAGATATATTTGATTTATATTTCTAAAAAGGTAAAATTAGATATTCAATCCAAGGACAATGTCAGACAAAACAAATTTATAAAGATATAAACATTTCGATCAGGTGTTTTCTTTGATATAGTTCAAACATTCCACATTATGCCCCTTTATGTAAAATAAAGTGAATATATTTCCACGTTAAAGTTCATCCTCGAATCATCCTCGAATCTCAGATGATTTTAGCGTTTACAAAAAATCGTTAGTTAGGTCATTGAATGGAGATTTAGATAAGAATGATTTGAACATATATATCCATTTATTTATATTTTTATTCGTAATAAACAAAATGAAACATTCAAATCATAGAAACTAAATAAATAAACATATGTAATTCAAACTTACATTTTACTGTTTGATCATCTAATACTTCATCAGATCCGCTATGAAGTTCTTTTTTTCTCGCATCAGACATCCTCGTTTACTTTCAGATAAAGCAAAACCTTGCTCCCTCTAATGTTTTATAAATTTTACACCAGCGTAGTGTGATGTCAAGTATTTTATACAATGTCTTACTAAATACAAGATAGATGAATTTTATCTTTGCCACAGATATACAAGCATGGTTTAAAGTAACATGCCTCCGGATTCTCGCTATCATTTTATGAATACTTTTATAATGTATTTTAAGTAAAATATTGTGCAGAGAACAAAAAAACTAATTAATACATTGAAAACGGCATTTACAATCCACGTAAAAGAGATTCAAGTCTGCAAAAAATAACATTCACGCAGCAGAAATATGATTATAAACACTGAAAAAAATCAGTCATAAATCGCTCATAACATATCAATCAAAATTTGATTTTTTTTTTCTTTTTTTTTTTTTTTTTTTTTTTTCTTTTGTAAATTTATCATAATATGAAATACAAGAACAATGACTTATGATTTATTTTTCAATAAAAGCTTCATTTCTCAACATTAGACTCATTTATCAGTAAATCAAACATGGTTTTATTGACACTTCACTGATCATTATTCAGTGACTTGCAATGACATCGTTAAAGTTTGTTAATTATCAATGTTAGTTATTTTATTAACATAGCCTCCAAGCTTGTTATAAGAACGTGTATAAAAGACATACTTGAAGGTTCATGTGAAGAATAACTAAAAGGTTCTCCATATAAAAACAAAGAAGTCCTCTTTAAAATTTCAAAATGAAAAAGAGCAAATCAATTCCAATTTTCAAAACTGATAATGATAGAAACAAATTTGAAAAAAAAATTGATAAACTCTAATCTCAAATGAAACAGAAGTATTTAGGCAGCTTTCTCACTGTGTAAATAAAATTGATTGTCTTTAAAAAGTAAAATCTTATAACTTACACGTATTATTTTTAATATTTACAGATAGTCTTTCTATAAAAAGTATTTCATTGTGGTAAATCATTGTCGTCGAAAAATGAACACAAAGTTACGTATATTATTGTACTTTGTCTTGCATGATTATTATATAGTTTAAGCTAGTGATACCATGACACCTTGCATAAGTATCTTGATTTCTTCTTTAATTTTACAATACAATGGAAAACAAACATAGAATTATAAGTAGATAATTTACATCGTTTTACAAATGGCAGAAAAACGGAGTGAATCGTATTCATTAAAACATACTTTTTCGTGCCATGTTATTGTAACCTAAACCGCAATGTATTACTTCAATACATTGTAAATCTATATTATTTATGGCATATATATCAATCAAACACTGGCATAGAACAGTGGACTTGCTGGAAATCTCTTGGTTTCGGGTGTGCCCAAGCTATGAAAAGGTGACTGTACTCGAATGCTCCCAGAAACCATTTTGGAGTTGTCTTAATGTTGACATACCGTGAGTAATTTGTAAAATTGTTGTTACCCGGCGCCTGTTCTGTCTCAATCGGTTATATTAATCAATTACATTACGCATTAAAAATGCGCATGCCCCGTATACTAAAGGTCACGTGATATGGCCATATCGATTTACTTCAATTGCGTTTACATATATATTATTATAGATTATAATCGAGTGTAAAAAGCAATTCTATACAAGTTTTAGAAAATAATATTACAAAGCTGTAAGCCGGAATATGTTAAATTTCTTGTATTGCGTCATTGCTTGTACAACTTAAACCTCCAGCACTCGTAGCTCATCATTATCTTTTAACAAGTTTCTTTAATTTAATGGATACGACGGGCTAAAATGTATAACATGGTTAAGTTTATGACATGATGCATTTAGAGATAACTCAATTTGGGTATCGTATGATTTAGTTGCCATAATCTAGATCATTTTTTTTATCGGCGAGTTGTTAATCATATTTATCCACATAACCGTCTATATTACCTGATCATACAAAAGCGAGAAAGTGCGAACCCCCGGCAAACGCTTCAAGACAAATTCAATGCTTAAACATATATAAACGTGATGTGACATGGTGGTAGCCTTTGCCTTACATTACGTTAAGAAAAAGAAGTATCTCTAGTGTACAAAAAACACATCCAAAAACACAAAAGCAGAATGAGATTGTTGTGTGAATACCACATCTTTATATCTCTTTTGTTGTTATGTGAGTTAGTAACAATCCGTTTTTTGTTGTTGTTTTTTGTTGTTGTTGTTTTTTTTATTGTTTTGTGTTTTATGGGTTTTTTTTGTTGGGTTTTTTGTACCTTAGTGCTGGGCCAGTGTGCCTATATTTAATTGCATGTTTTATATTAAAATAAAAACAATCACATGTATACTTGTAATTTATTTACTATTTGCGCATGAATGCTGAGACTCAAATGGGTTAAGAATGTTTACATTGAGTGTTATACAAGAAAGAAAGAATTTTATACTGACTTAAAAACAAACAGTTTATGGTCTTTGAGAGCTTGCAAGTTCATTTAAGTATATATTTTACATGTAGTAACTCTAAGCAAAATTAGAAAAAAAATTCATATGAAGATATGAAACGTCTGTTATTCAATATATGGTATAAAACCAAAGGCTAAACTCAACATCATTTAAGTTATGTTAAATAGTGACATTTCATCAAGATATAACCGATATATTAGTTTCATGTTATTGCATAATTTCATGTATTATTTCAAGGAAATAAGGTTAATTTGATTTCTTGATAACGTTTTAATACGCAGAAGTCCACACTGACGGACTTTATAACACGATAGCCAGGCGTGCTCATTTAACTCAAATGCAATTCTAGGTCAAGGATAACTATTATATCATTATATTTTAAATTGAAGCTAGTGAAAAGTAGCTGTTTAAAGTATGTATAAAATCTATGTATTGATTTATGAAAACTTTGCTGTTTTCTTTTGAACGTACCGCCTCTCTGACCTTAATAAATGTAACAATACTGCTGGATTTACAAAGCCCCATAATTTAGCATTAGTTGTTTTTCATTTTATCTGTTTCTTTTCAATTTTAAAAAAGGCATCCAATTCTCCAACAATTTCCAGAGATTTTTTTTCAAATTCAAAGAAGAACAAAATTTTTTATTTATTTTACAGATCAATAGATTATTGCAGCAATAGATGCTTGCAGAAAGGGTAAAGGCATCTTCAAAATCATTTTACACCTGGGCCAAGACAATCTTAAAATGCATCTATATTTATTGCAGTAGCGAATGACATTGATTAAGCATTGCCATACATTTCATAGCAAAATGGTAATAAATTTATAATGTTTTCAGACTCACTTAGATGTAGTATTAGACATACTAGGGTTACACATCCCTACATTTTTAACAAGAGACAATGCTCCATTTTGAAAAGCTTGCAATAAACATGTTACTGTCAATCATTTCTTCTAAAATGCTATGATATGGCACATAATCGTCGTAGAGTTTATCAAGTCAATTCACTTTGAGAACTTTTTTATTGCCTCCGTTCCAATGTAGTCAAAATATTTGAACATGCCAAAGCCAAAGTTAGATTCTGAGATTGGTTTTTTTTTTTCTGGGTCAGAATCTCGCTTTTATGTAAACGGGAGATATTGTCCAAACACAAAATATCACAATATCTCATCGCATAGTACATTAGTTTGACTAAGTTTAAATGAACCTAAACAAAGAAAAAACAATGTTGCAAGGCTGTATGTATGTAAAGTAATTGAGCAGTTCATGTGAAACGTAATCCTCTGCTGTTTTATGTTCACTGATATGATCTACTTCATACACAAATAAAACTCTTGTATTTGGTAAGATACTTTTAATTATTTATAACGTGCAACTGTTTAACATTATCTTGAATAAATAAACTAACGATGCACGAGTCAGATTTGCTTATACCGTTTGTTTTATTGTATTTGCAGGGTACTAGAATATATACGCGGGTGACCAGGAAGTTCCTGAACTGACAATAATATAGTATCAACTCTCTTTATACCAGTATATCATTTACATTACCGAAGTTTCTTCCTTTTTGGACATGGTATATTATGTAAATAAATTCCACAAGCTAAATAAGTTACAGGTAATAAAGGTGAACGCATTGTAAAAAATTGACGCCATGATAACGTCAGAGGATCATTGTAATCACCATTGATCTGAATGCATTTATATGTCTCTGTAATTATTAGGTCAATGCGTCAATGAACCAGTCACAACAACAGTTTGCGAACACATATGAAGTTCGTTGGCTTTTGCAAACCGCAACCAATGTACAGCTGCTTTGGTGACCGAGGATACTTTCAAGTCCATGCAGGCTAGATCTTGAATAAAGAATGCTTGCCGACAAAGTAAATTGATTTTAAGGAGTGTTGAATAAAACCGGCTTCCTGGAGCTTTATCTCAGTGAAATATTATGCGTTCGGGCCAAGACATCTTTATGCGTGCATTAAGTGCATCTAAGAAGCTGAATGAAAATCCAAACTTACAAAACGTTGGTAACTCTGTTATAAAGTCTTGTTTGTGAATTTCCACCAAGATTGTTAAAATTAAAGGCCTGGAGTCAAGATTGACTCCATAATTTTCTTTTATGTATATAGTTAAATTTTAAAAATCTTCATTTTCAAATCTACAGACTTTAGGATATTGAATTTAACTTTAATTATAACTGAACTACATTTTGGCCTTGTGACCTTCTGGTTTTGCTTTTATATACAGCTATGAAATTCGGACCATATGCCTAGTTTCAGATGCAGAGTCGAAAGTTTAAATTAGCTTACCTAGATTTTGACCTTGTGTTAAACTATGAACAATTATCTTTGTGCAACAGTATCAGGTGCAGAATTTAACTTTGATTTAAACTCGCCTAGAAGATATGATCATTCCTTAAAACATAACAAAAAACTCACGATAATGTAATTTTCTTTATATATTATACATAAAATGATGATTATGCATTATGTACATTTTTACATTTCATCCCACCCTACCCCCTTTAAATCAGTACGACACCTAGCATTTTTTTAAAAATAAATGTTTTCAGCATTATGCCAATGGAATTTCTTGGAATGTCTGGTGATGGAGATTCTGGGAAATGAAATTGTCGATTAAACTATC